GTGCTCGGGGGCTCCCACAGGTGGAGCGGGCCACGGGGCCATCTCCGGCCACCGCAGCTCTCGGAAGAGGATGACGTCCCCCCCAGGAGAGGGACCCTAGCGAGTCCCGCCCGCTGGTGAGCCGGTGACCCCGGACCCTGTCCTCTCAGTGGATCCCACCCGCCCTGGGCTCATCGACCAGGCCCTCGCCTCCCCGAGCCAGGCGAGTCCTGTTATCCCCATTATCCGGATGAGAGCGGAGACCGCAGAGGCGAAGCGGGATCTCCCAGTGTCACAAAGCTGGTGAGACCCAGGGATTTTTCGCCACCGTGCCGCCCCGGGATAGAGATGCTGTGCGTGTCTAACGGAGGGGGCATCGGGCGGAAGTCCATGGTGATAACTATTTCAATAAAAAGCCACGGCCACCGCTTCATTCCAGGCTCGGGAAGCAACCAACCAAGCGGGAGCAGGACTAAGTTAGTTCAACGACGTGCGCGCTTCTCCACAGAGAGGCCGCCATTTTCCAGATGGGAACCCCGAAGCTTGGAAGGGGTAGGAGGAAACAAGTCATGACATCCCAGCTAGAGCAAACGAGAGAGGGGTGCCCCAGGCCCCGTGCACCTGCCTCCCCGCCCAGGAGAAGAAAGAGGCAGAGGGTTCTCCAGAATGTTCACCGGGTAGAGTGCCCTGCATGCCCTCCTTTCCTTTGTGACTCCGGGCACTTCCTCCATGGAATTTGCGAATTCCGGGGTGCACACATTGCCTGGACCGCCAAGGCAGGTCAACAGCTGTCACCATGACAGCAAAGAGAAAGCAAAAGGGAGGCTGACCGAGGTGGAGCGCCCCCTAGAGAGGCTGCAACACAACTTCAGGACTAATTCCCCTGACCCCGGAAGGGGGGGCGGAGCTTACATAGGGGCAAGGGTGGGCCCCCCCCCCCCCGGGGCCCCCCATGCTGGGGATGGCGATAAAGGTGTGTTTAGAGAAGAGCTTAAAACTTCTTGTGGCTTTGTGCAGGGCTTCCTGTAGGCCTTTGGGACTCCTGGCCTGCAGCCCCTGGTGTCTAGAACCTTCTATGTGGCTACAGTGGTGATGTGGGCCCGGGGGGAGCTGTTCTGGAACAAAGCTGTCAGCTCTAAGCCCTGGGGAGGCTCAGTTTCCCTCGGGGCGTTTTGCCCTAGGCTCTCTCTGCTCTGCCCTGCCCGCCACACACAGGCAAAGCCACACAGGAAACTTTCAGACCCTCAGGGGAGGGACACACAGAGCCACGTGGCCTTGTTCCCTAGGCAGACAGGTGCCCGCTTCGCAAAGGTACCTAAAAACCACCCTGGCACCAAAGCAATGCCGCCCTGGATGCCTTCACTCCACCCTCTCAGGTTAGTCCCCTGAGGGATAAGTGATTACAACAGGAAGTGACCCCCCCCCCAGCAGGGGGGAAGCGGGAAGGGGAAGCGCTCCGCTCAGCTCATTGAGGGGCAGGCAGGGCTCTCCTGGGTGGACCTCACGAGATCATTGTGACTGAGTCAGCACCCAGGCCCCTTCTTGAGTGTCTCCCTCAGAGCCGTCCCCAGAAGGGGAAAATGTGGCCACTTGACCTAATGGCCTCTCGGCCTGGGTGTTCTCCCTGGAGCTGATTTCTTCACAGCTGTTAATGGGAACGTCCAACTCGAAGCGGGCCTGTCCTGCTCCCGTCTAAAGCGCCGTGGCTGGCTGGCCGTGGTGGTTTATAAACGACAGCCTCAGCCTCGGCCCTCCCTGCCTCCCTCGTGAATCACCCCGCTTGCTGGGGTGGGGGTGGGAGTGGGGGGGTCCGGGAGGGGAGGGTCCCCCGGGGAGGGTCGGTCACTGGTCCTGGTCACATCCCACCGGTCCGGGCCTGGACCCGAGGACCCCTCACAGCTGGGCAGGGCCTTCACAGTTTACAGAGAGCTCTCCCTTGTCTCATCTCCCATCACCCTTTGAGCTGGGACACCAAAACACCTAGAAAACACAGTGCCTGGACCTGCCCCCCGTGTTCTCCTCCTTAGCCCACAAGCATTGCCCCAGAGCCCACTCTGTGCCCGGGGCTGGCGGTAGAGGCCTAGCGGTGGGGGTAGACCCGGCCCTGGCCCTGGCCCTGCCCCTCCCCCTGCCCCCGCCCCCAGCCTCAGCCCTGCCATCCAGCCCCGCGTGCAGCAGGGGGATCCTCCAATCCTGCCCCTGGCCCACCCAGATCCAACAGTGCGCCCCCAACCCCGCCGCCCAGATGGTCAAGGGATTCCTCAGCCTCCACTGGAGGCCCTCCCCCTCTCCCCTCCCGCTTCACGACTGCACAGTCTCTCTGCTTTGGCCTGAGAGCGGCTGACGTGCGGCCAGCGCACGGTTTCCTGTCCGCCCGGGCTGTACTAAGCGGCAGACCGGTCCCTGTGCACACCGTGCCCCCCCTTCCAGGCCCCGGCCTGGAGTTTCACGCTCCCGGAGCCCACCAGCCAGCCGCATCTGAGTCCACAGGCGCGTCATTGCCCAGCGCCGATTCCACCCTCCCAGAAGTCACCCCACAGTGAAGGCGACCGCCGCCCGGATCGCAGCTGGCATCACGGGTGCAGGCCTGCTACCTCTGTCCCCGCATCAGACGGTGAGCTCCTGGGGCGAGGGTAGGGGGCACGCAGTGAAGGGTGTGGCTCAGCACAGGGCGCCCCCCCTCCCCAGAACACGGGAATGCCATTGGCCGAATGAATGAGCAAAAAGACGAAAGAAGAGGAAGCAGAGGGGCCCGGGGGGCCTTGGGGTACCCTCAGATGGAGCTGGGGCCCTCCCAAGCACAGCCCTCACCCTCTGCTTCGGAGAACACCGGCACATCATTTCTTTGCCTGCCCAGCACCTCTGGCCGCATCTCCTCCACCTGGGGAATCGCCTCCTTTCCGTCTTTCATCTTCCGGCCAGCCCCCTTCAGCCTCCCTTGCAGCTAGAGTTACATCATGTGACCTGGGCTCCACCATCACAAGCCTGCCAGACTCAGGATGGGCAGGGACGACCCAGGAGGCAGGTGCTGCGGCGTAGAATCTACTCTGGCGGGCAGGAGGCAGTGCTGAGACTCGTGCAGGGTGCCCAGGGGGGACGAGCTGGCATGAGCTCCCTGCAGCGATTCCTGCCGTGGGTTTGGGGGCCCCCACTCCTGGCTCTGCACATTCTTTCTCAGAGAGTCTGTGCTATGGGGTATCCTTGAATAAACTCTGTCTACTCAACCTGGCCAGAGTTGATTGAGTTGATTTCTGTGTCTGAAATCATAGACCCCGACCTGTTCACCTCACGGTGATGAACGTGCCCCAGGAAGCCTTGGCAGGTCCCAGTTTAGAGAAGTATTTGTGTGTGAGTAAGACGTCAGGCCTTGTGTGGGGCAGCAGGCTGGGGGAGGCGGGGGGCAGGGGGAACCAGAGGTGCCCACGCACCAAAGTGGGGACCCTGAGAAGAGGCTGCTTTGCATCCTGAGGTTGGCTCCACAGCTGTGGGGGTCGGCTCTCACTGCTGTGTCTTTGCCGCTGCTCAGGCCTCTGCCTATCCACACCCCCAACCACTTCCGATAACTCCTTATCATCCTGAGAGACTCGGGTTCTCATTGTCTATTTCTGGAAGCTTCCAGCCCCACCCCTCTGGGCCAGGCGCCTCCTCGGTGCTCCCAGAGCCCCCAGGGCCACATCTGACAATGCCCTTCCACGTTGCACGGTCACTGTCTATTGCCCCCTCCTGAGGGCAGGGGTCACCTCTGGTCCACTCCGAGCACTCAGTGCTCCCGGCATACAGGAGATGCCCCGGGAACGTTTGCTGAGTGACTGAGTGAGTGGGTGGGAGAAGCCAGGGGTCTCTGGGCTCGGTGAAAACGGGAGAGGGAAAACAGTACAGCAGGGCCTTGGGGCTTGGCGGGCGCGCCCACCCCTACCTGAAACCCCAGGCCGGCAGGCACGTGCTCGGCTTGCTTCTGTGCAAAGGGAATGTGTGGGGCTGGTCCATGCCTGCAGCCCCATCCACCGCGCGAGTTTCAGAGCAAATTCACCAGGAAAAGATTTCCCGGGAAATAAATCTAGAGCTACCGACTGGCTTCAAGGCCCCCTTTATCCCACATTGATTTGTATCTTGGAGATTTAAGCCTCTCCATTTGTTTGCCTGGGACGCTTGTCACGCAGACATCAAGGCACGTGGCCGCAAGAGCGGTTTCCTGAGCGACACTGGGTAGAAGTCAAGCGCATCCCTTTGGGCATACACCTCCCCCTCTCCCTCCTTCCCTGGCAGGCAGGGGAAGCTCCTGGCGAGCTGCTCAGAGGCCATCGGGCCACTGCACTGCACCAGCCAGGTGCCACGGGCAGCAAAGGATCAAAGTGCCAGGGGTCTCTGTTCCTCCAGGTCATGGTCACCAGAGGCACTCTTCATTTGTGGCTCAGGTCATGATTTCACTGTTTGTGGGATCGAGCCCCTTGCTGGGCTCTGTGCTGACAGTGTGGAGCCTGCTTGGGATTCTCCCTCTGTCTCTGTCTCTGTCTCTGTCTCCTTCCCTCCCTGGCTCACGCTCTCTCTCTTTCTCTCTCTCAAAATAAACATGAAGAAAAAAATCCTTCTCCCTAGATGTCTCTCTGCTGTCTCTGCCTTGGCCCACCCCCTACTCCCCTCCCCCTGCCCCTCCAATCCTGCCCACCCACTATCAAAGCAGAACAATCTGGCCCCCATAGTCCGATTTCCTCCCCTAGTGAGGCTGATAGGAGGATCCGCTTTCAAGGGGAACTTGGTACTAGTTCTTAAAATGATGAATTTTCGGCTGCTATGTTGCCACCAGACTCACAGCTCCCGGTCCCTCCTGCCTTCCAGGGACCCAGAATTGAATGGAGCACAGGTGCAGACCTCACGGAGTCCAAGGTCAGGGTCAAGCCCTAAGGGGTTCGCCCATGGCAGAGAAGGTGGGGAGACACCGGTTGGAGGGAGGCACAACACAGATGGGCAAGAACAGATGAGGGACAGCTCCCCCCACATGGAGGAGCCAGAAAGGGCCTCACCAAAGACGTGATGGGATAGCTGGCCTTGAATGGGTTCCAAGAGCGCGAGAGGTAGTGGGGCCAGAATCCTCATCGGCGCCTCTCTAAGATTCACCTGCTGAGGCTGCGCTGGGATCACTGGCTGTTGGGTCTGCCTCCTCCGCCAAGCTGGGAGCTCTGGAAGGTGATCTCCTTTCAAGGGCCAAGTTCGATCAGTCTCAGCCCTGGGAGGAAGGAAGGGAAGGAAGGTGAGTAGGGGTGAGAGAGCCGTGGCAGCATCTAGAGTCCGGGGGTGCTGGCGGCCGCAGGACCCCTGATGCTAGGGCAGAGACAAGAGGCGGACTTGGCCGTGGACGTGATCACTTCGCACCGAAAGTGAGCAGGATCGGGGGCTGCGGGTCCTCGGGTCACTCCTACGAAAGGCCTTTTCCATCAAGCACTGGACCCTCGAGCACAGAGGCCGTACCTTCTTCATCTTCTCTGTGCCCACCACCTCCGGCAGTGCCAGCCCGGAACCAGGTCCACAGCTCTCCCTTGGAATCCAGCAGGGGCAGCTGGCCCCTCTGCACATTGGCCACCCATTAGAATCACCGGGGACATGGGGCGCCTGGGTGGCTCAGTCGGTTGAGCGACCGACTTCGGCTCAGGTCACGATCTCGCGGTCCGTGAGTTCAAGCCCCGCGTCGGGCTCTGTGCTGACAGCTCGGAGCCTGGAGCCTGTTTCGGATTCTGTGTCTCCCTCTCTCTGACCCTTCCCCGTTCATGCTCTGTCTCTCTCTGTCTCAAAAATAAGTAAACGTTAAAAAAAAAAAAAAAGAATCACCAGGGACATTTGAGAAAATACTGATTCCCTGGGCCCCACCCCCAAGGAGACTGGTTTGACTGGTCTGGGGGTGGGGCCCCGGCATCGGCACTTTATTGAACAAAAAAATGATTATTCTGCTGTAGCATCTCGTGCAGCAAAAAAGGCAAGTGCTCACGGGACACGTGTACCTCGAAGGAAGTCTGGCTCTTGGTACTAAGGTCTGTCCCCTCTTTCAGAGCTTGCCCGGCTCAATGACTTCAGCCACCACCGTTTCAGATGACGCCTAAATCTCAGCGTCCAGCCCAGAGAGACTCTCCGTCCCCAAATCACAATCACACAGGGACAGATGCACGCGGTACGGAGCTCCACCAGTCCCGGGGCCCCACCCTCCCGCTGGACAGCTGGATCCGTCATCTGCTTTCGGCCGGCGTGACGGGAAACCAAGTTGAACTAGCCCGGTCAATGGGAGGCTTTGGGGTATCATCCGTAGCCATGGGGTGCTGGGTACCAGGGGGCCCAAGGAGCCATTTGGTTCTGACACTCATCACCATCACCAAGAACTGCACTGCTCCACGCTGTGGAGACTCTAAGGAGTCTGGTCAAGTGCCCACCCTCCACCACTCTGCTGAAGCCAGGAGCGTGGGGTCGCCGAGCACAGACGGTAACATACAGACAGAGGAACTCCATTTAAGACGGAGGAGTGAAGCCCCATCCCAACAACCCCTCTTCCCCCAAAGACTAACCATTCGTAGTGTTAGAGGAATAATACCAACAGCGACAAACTCCACAGAAGGCATTGTTGACCGGGTGTATTTATTTGCTGGGACCCGGTAAGAAGCAGATCTCTCACTCAAAGGGGTGATTGAAGAAACTGAATAAGGAGACTCGTTATAAGGGTGAGAGCGAAGGGGGCCGGGAAGGGGTGGCGAGGCACCGGGGATCAGCGGTTCCACACCCCCCTCCAGGCACGGAAGGCCACGGGGAGGTTGTCCAACTAGTGGCTGCCGTAGTGGGATTAGCACAGCCACTGCCAAACTGGGAAGAGTAGGCATTGGGGGGATACCCCAGTCTCTGTCCCCTGTTGCCCTCTCCTTGGCTGAACATAACCGGAAGCCAGAGAGAGCCCGAGCGAGGCAATCCATAGCGCCTTCCAAGCACTGAGCGGATGCGGAAGCGTGGGGAACACATCTTCAGGAACAAGTGTGGAACGTTCCACACCCTGAATGGCCACCCAGATGGAATCTGCCCTGGGGCTCCAGGGACCCAACGGCTTTAAAGTCACCCTTGCTTTCTCTGTTTATTTTTCCCCCACATGCCATCACCAGGTCCTAATGATGCCATCTCCCGACACTTCTGGAGTCTGGCCTCTCCTCTGTCTTCACTGGCTTCTCCGTATCCAATCGAATCCACCCAGCAAAATGCCGTCGACTTGACCCACGGCCCTTCCCAGCCAAAACCTTCCCAGGAAACCCCCACTGCCTTCGGGGTAACAGGCAGACCCACCCCGTGTGCTCCGGGGCCACCGACCCCGCTCCAGGTGGGTTGGAGCAAGAGACACAAGGTGGGTGACAGTCTGGCTAAGAAATTGGGCCTCTTCCTTCAGGCAACGGGCACTAAAAGAGTTTTGGAAGCAAGAGTTTGTTGTTCTCGTGAACTTTTCATTTTGAAGGAACTTCATACTTTCCAAGAAGCTGCAAAAAGAGGACAAAGAATCCCCATCAACTCTATCCAGATCCTCCAGATGTCAACATGGCACGGCACAGCGTCAAAATCGGGACATCCCACTACGTAACCTACAGACCTTATTTGCATTTCCTAGGTAGTTGCCCTAACGTCTTCTGGTTCAGGATTCAGTCTAGGGTCATGTTGCTCTCAGTTGTCACGACTCTCCGGTCTCCTTGAATCTGGAACAGTTCCTCATCCGTGTCTTTCGCGACCTTGACACCTTTGTGTCCACACTGGCCACTTCTTTTCTAGAATGCCCTTCTACTTGCCTTTTTCTGATGTTTCCTCGTCATTCAATCCAAGGTATGCATGTTGGTTGAGTAAAAAATGCCACAAAAGACAGGTTGTATCTTTCTCAGTGTATCATCCTAGGAGGCATGTGATGTCAGCTCGTCCCAATATGGTTGATATTAATTCTGACTGAGTGATTGAGATGTTGCCTGCCAAGTTTATTAATAAGTATCCTGTGGGGAGAATGCTTTAAAACTATAAATATCCGGGCCGCCTGAGTGGCTTAATTGGTTAAGTATCCGACTTCGGCTCAGGTCACGATCTCACAGTTCACGAGTTCGAGCCCCACGTCGGGCTCCGTGCTGACCGCTCGGAGCCTGGAGCCCGCTGCGGATTCTGTGTCTCCCTCTTTCTCTGTCCCTCCCCCACGCGCTCTGTCTCTCAAAATGAATAAACATAAAAAACTTTTTTTAAAAAGAACTATAAATATCGTGTTTTTCATATACACGCAGCCCACCGATTTTAATACCCATACTCACCGGAAACAGTTTCTACCCTGGCATTTGCCAAATGGTGGTCCTCAAGCCCATCACTCCCACATTTATTGGTTGGAATTCTGCTGTCAAGAAGAGAAAAGCAGGATCCACTCAACAGAGGATGGTCTCCGGGAATCACAGCAGCTCACCTGATATATTGCAAACCTTATCTGGAATATATTTTATTTTATTTTATTTTTTTAAATTTTTTTTCAACGTTTTTTATTTATTTTTGGGACAGAGAGAGACAGAGCATGAAGGGGGGAGGGGCAGAGAGAGAGGGAGACACAGAATCGGAAACAGGCTCCAGGCTCTGGGCCATCAGCCCAGAGCCCGACGCGGGGCTCGAACTCACGGACCGCGAGATCACGAGATCCCGCGAGATCACGAGATCGTGACCTGGCTGAAGTCGGACGCTCAACCGACTGCGCCACCCAGGCGCCCCTATCTGGAATATATTTTAAAACGCTTACAACTCAATAATAAAAAAACAAATGAGCCAGTTAAAAAAAAATGGGCAAGGGATTGGAATTGACATTTTTCTTTTTTTTTTTTTAAATTTTTAAAATGTTTATTATGTATTTTTGAGAGAGAGAGAGGGGAGAGAGAGAGCATGAGCACCTGACAGGGGGAGGGTTAGAGAGAGAGGAAGACACAGAATCCGAAGCAGGCTCCAGGCTCTGAGCTGTCAGCGCAGGGCCCGACGCGGGGCTTGACCCCACGAACCGTGAGATCGTGACCTGAGCCGAAGTCAGATGCCCGACTGACTGAGCCACAGGCATCCCCGGAATTGGCATTTTTCTACAAAAATACTTACAAGTGACCGATAAGCGTGAATAGATATTCCACATAATGGTTAGGGGAATGGACATCAGAACTGCTGTAAGATGTACTTTCTGCACACTGGGATGGCTGTCTCGAAGAAACAGACACCGGGCGCCTGGGTGGCTCAGTCGGTTAAGCGTCCAACTCGTGATTTTGGCTCAGGTCGTGATCTTGCGGTTTGTGATCACACTGGCAGTGTGCGGCCTGCTTGGGATTCTCCCTCTCTCTCTGCCCCTCCCCAGCTCACATACTCTCTGTCTCTCTCGAAATAAGTAAATAAAAAAAGAGAGAGAGAGAAATAGACACTAACAAGTGTTGGCAAAGCTGCAGAGATTAGAACGGTCACTTGCTGCCGGGAGGAATATAAATGGTGCAGCTGCTTTGGAAAAGTCTAGCTTTTCCTCCAAAGGTTAAAGATACCAGCTCCCATGCCCCTAGTTCTCCTACCCCCAGGCATATACCCAAGAGAAACAGCGTACGTTCTCGCAAAGACTTGTATGGAAATGTTCGTGGCAAAAAAGGTGGAAACCATCCAATACCCATCCGGTGAGAAGTGTACAAATAAGGTGTGGCCTACCCACCCGACGGATGTTATCTGGCCGTAAGAGGAAATGATGGACAGATACGTGCTGCTACCCCACGGGCGAACCTTGACAACGTGATGCTAAGTAAACGAAGCCAGACGCAAAGGACCCCAGGTTCTATGATTCCACTCAGGAAATGTCCTGAATAAGCAAATTTATAGAGACAGAAGGTAGATTAGTGATTGCCAGAGGCTGGGGCAAGGGAGTGACTCTTAACAGGTACGGGGTTTCTTTTTGGGGTGAGCAAAATGTTCTAAAATTGTGACAGTTGCTGCCCTACCCCATGAATACACTAAAAATTATAGACTTCAGGGGCGCCTGAGTGGCTCAGTCGGTTGAGCGTCCGACTTCGGCTCAGGTCATGATCTCACGGTCCGTGAGTTCGAGCCCCGTGTCGGGCTCTGTGCTGACAGCTCGGAGCCAGCTTTGGATTCTGTGTCTCCCTCTCTCTCTGCCTTTCACCCTCTTGTGCTCGCTCTCTCTCTCTCTCTCTCTCAAAACTAAACATTAAAAATTTTTTTAAATTTGTATATCTCAAATGGGTAGCCTGTATGGTATGTGAATTATATCTCAATATAGCTGTTATTACAGTTATATCTCAATAGCTGTTATTACACACACACACACACACACACACACACACACACACACACCACCAACAACCTTCTCGGAGTTTTGTAGGAGAAGGAAGTTCCCGCGTCCCTGCCCAGCCCAGTCCGGCCGCCTCAGTTCCGGCCTCCAGCTGCTCGGGCCCAAAGGAGCTGACACCCAACTAGCCCAGCAGAGAATCGACAACGCTCTCAGGCCCGGCAACCCCCACGGGCCAGCGTGACAGACTTTCCCGTGATTAGGACGGGGAAGATTCACGGCTGCGTTTTGACCAGCTATCTCTTCACTCCCCCCGTGAAACATCCTGAGCCAGACTGTGGCTTTGTGCCTTGAAGCCCAAGGCCATGAATCAACATAATCCACTTATCAGGACCGAAGGCTGCGGTCACTGTGCATGTAGAAGAAACAACCCACATTTCTTGGCGCCTTCGTGGCAGAGGGCCGGGCCGCACCCTGGTGCCCACTGGGGAGAGCCGTGCTCCCGGATCCTTCTGGACTCACCACACGCCGCCCCCGGGGCATACCTTTCCCGTGGCGTCACAGCGGTGCCGCTGGGAGCCTGGCAGTCTGCGTCCCCATTTGCCGCTTCAGTGACTCTGGTGGGTGAGCCAGGCCCGGGCCGGGCCCATGCTGGGTTCCCTGGCTTTGGCTTTCTTACTCTCCTTCACGTTACGTTATAAAACACAACCCTATGGGGGTGGGGAGGGGGAGGAGGGGTGATGGGAGAAGAGGAGTTAAAAATACAAACTCCCAGCCGTAAACTAAATAAGTCCTGGGGATGCAAGGCACGGTGTGGGGACTACAGTTAACATACCGCATTGCATCTGAAAGGCGCGAAGAGATCTTAAAAGTTTTCATTACGAGAAAAAAAAATCTTTTTATTTTTTTTATTAAAAAAATGTTTTAATGCTGCATTTATTTTTGAGAGAGACATAGGGACAGAGCACGGAGGGGGAGGGGGAGAGAGAGAGGGAGACACAGAATCGGAAGCAGGCTCCAGACTCTGAGCCGTCAGCACAGAGCCCGAAGCGGGGGGGCGGGGGGCTCGGACCTATGAACTGTGAGATCATGACCTGAGCCCAAGTCGGATGCCCAACCCACTGAGCCACCCAGGCGCCTCTAGAAAAAAAATCTTGTAACTACAAAGGGCGGCGGTGGATGTTAACTCGATACATGTTAACTAGACTTCCCGTGTCCATCAGTTCACAAGATATACCAATATCGAGTCACTATGCTGTATGACATGTGTCAATTATGTCCCCCCAAAAAACCCACCAAGAGCGGGGCACTTGGGTGGCTGAGTCGGTTAAGCATCTGACTCTTGATCTCAGCTCAGATCTTGATCTCAGGGGCCGTGAGCTCAAGCCCCGCGTTGGCTCCGTGCTGGGTGTGAGGCCTACTTTAAACAATAAAAAATTAGGGGTGGCTCAGTCGGTTGAGCGTCCGACTCCGGCTCAGGTCATGATCTCACGGTCTGTGGGTTCGAGCCCCGCGGGCAGGCTCTGTGCTGACAGCTGGGAGCCTGGAGCCTGCTTTGGATTCTGTGTCTCCCTCTCTCTCTGCCCCTCCCTCGCTCATGCTCTGTCTCTCTCTCTCTCTCTCTCTCTCTGTCAAAAATAAATAAACATCAAAAAAAATTTTTTTTATAAAATAAATAAATAATTAATTAAAATTTAAAAAAAAAAAAAAAAAGACCAAAAAAAGAAAACCAACTTCAGTCAGGGCCCCTACCTTCGGCTTAACGCCCTTCGATGCCTTCCCAGGGTAAACAAGGAGCTTCCGAAGCTGGCCTGGTGTGACTTCCAGGGGCCGTGCCCCTGCAGGGCCTCGCGAGCACGTGTTCTGCTCCCTCTCAAACACGCTGGCTTTATTTCGGCTCCTCCAAGTCCCCCTGTCCCCTCTCGCCTCCGGGCCCCTGGACAACCTTCCCCCTGCTTTTCTCACACCTAGTTGATTAGCTCATTGAGGGCTGAAACCCCTCTTTCGAGAACGTCTTCCCTGATGCCCCAGGACTCTGGCACCTCCCCTTCCAGCACTGGCCAGCGTTGTCCACATTGGTGCAATGATGGAATTAATGTCTGTCTCCCCTGCCAGGCTGAGCATCCCCTGAAGGCAGGGGATGTGTCTCTGCTTCACTCACGCGGTCACGCCCGTGTAGCTGGCCTAGAGCCTGGCACACAGCAGACATTCAAAAAACCCCGGGGCGCCTGGGTGGCTGGGGCGCCTGGGTGGCTCCGTCGGTTAAGTGTCCGACTTCGGCTCATGTTATGATCTCACGCAGTTCATGAGTTCGAGCCCCATGGCCGGCTCTGTGCCGACAGCTCAGAGCCTGGAGCCTGCTTCCGATTCTGTGTCTCCCTCTCTCTCTGCCCCTCCCCTGCTCACGCTCTATCTCTTTCTCTCTCAAAAAATAAATAAACATTTTTTTTTTAAAAAAGGCCTTGTTGATGGAAACAAAAGAAAGAACGCCGTTCTGAAGTCTCACTGGCGCCCATTCCTGTGTTCAGCTTCCTGAATTACCCCATTCTCTCCAAACATAAATCAGATTACAGCCTTCCTCTGCCTAGAACCCTCCAAAAGCTTCCCACTGTGAGTGTAATAAAATCCAAACTCCTTGCCTCCGTCTACAAGGACTCGCGGGGCCTCATCCCTCCGCTTCTCTCTTCCATCTCTACGGGAAGCCCTGGAGGGTTCTAGGCAAGCCTCTGCCTCCTGAGCTGCCGCTTTGACCTCTTTGTGCCCCTTGACCCCTCCAAATGCATTTCCGTCTCCACATTGCGTGGGGCCAAGCCAGTCAGAAAGGAGGGCCAGCCCCGAGCACTGAGCTTGACCCGAAGAACCACCTGCCAGCCTCCTGGGGGCCTGTACCCCCCTGGCCCAGCAAGGGGGGGGTGCCAGGTGCCCCCGATCAGAAGAGTTTTATCGCCGACATCACATAGAATTGTCAGCACGCAGTGTCAGCAAGCAAACTCTGGGTCCATTTTATTATCGCTGTTAAATCCTCCGCAGATGACGCACTCCCTTGCTGCCTGCACCCGGGAAGGACCACAGGCCACTCACACACCTGCCCCCACCTTGCACGTCACTGCTCTGCGGGATGATGCCCACCGTCCATTCTCCTCTTGGTCAGGTGTAGGAAAAGGGAGGGCAAAGCTCGTGTTCTGCCTTCGGGGTTCCCTGACACAGGCACGAATTTTATATCACTCCACATGGCTGGGCAGGTCAGCATTTCCTGCCAGGGAGGGAGGTGGGGGCTCAGTCACTCAGTCACACTGCAGGAATTCAAGCAGCCCTCACGTGACAGGCTTTCTGGACTGGGGCTTGGGAAGGGCTATGGCATCCATTTAAGGTCTGTTGGCTTCCTCTGAGATGAGCGTGGGCATTCTAGATCCTTCCATCGAGCCTCTATGCCATGAGCCTCGCTGCTGATGGCGGGGCGGTGAGAGCAAAACAGAAAGCCTCTGAATATTCTTCCTGGCTGTTCCTTGTGCCGGCATTTCCCCTCACCCCGATCTACGCGTATCTTACTCTCCTATCAGGGAGGCCGAGTTCTCTGCATTTTTTTGGATGAGTAAACTGGGGCAGAGTTATAGCCAACGGGGAGCCAGCTGGTCAGACTCCAGTGGGGAGCGCCTTCCTGTGCCTCTGCCCCCTGCCCCCCAACAGCAGAGAGGGAATAAATGACAGCGGGGAGAAGAGGCAGGATTGGGGCCCTGTTCTCCGAAAGGATCAAGCAAGGTCCTGCTTAATGACTAGTCAGGCAGCACAAATCGTTGTCAATTGTAAAATTTCAACAGAAACACCAGGGAAAGAAACACTGGCCAAGCGGGCCGGGAAACCCTGGCCGGGAAAACAGTCCTCTGCTCCAGTTTTCGCAAGGGGATTCAGATCGATTCGGCCGCTCAGATCCAGCCCTTGTTAGGGTCCCGCCGCCGTCACAGACATTAGCCACGCACACCATGATGCACTGGGGCCTCACGACCATCCTTGGGGGAACACTAATTGTGCCCATTTTACAGATGATGGAACTGAGTCTCAGAGAAAGGCAGCAGCTTGTGCAAGAAAGCCAGGAGCTCCGCCTTCTACCTTTTTAGGGAAATGTGAACCCTGACCTCCCTAGCCCACTCCCACCCCCCACCCCTCCTCCACAGGACCCCTCCTCTCCTACCGGCCCCCCCCCCCGCCCCCCACCGGCTCTTCCCCACCTGCCTACAGGTCTATGGCTGGCTACTGCCAGAGGAATCCCACGACCTCACCCCCACGCCCATTCCTGAAGATTCTATGAGAAGGGAGCCGTCCGGAACTCTGAGCCCAACATGAAGGACATTAGTAGGTGTTAGAAAAGATAGTCAAGTGTGTAATGACTCCTTCCTTGGAAATGAACCTTCATTTCCAACGTCTGACAATCCCACAGCTAACAAATCCAAGAGGGCAGTCAGGGCTGGAATGGCCATAACAGAGCTGGGGCCAGACTCACACGGAGCTACCAAGGGGCCCATGGGGACCACACCGGCCACTGGCCTCTTCACCTTGTCTCCAGCTTCCTGAGCTTTCTGAGTTGGAGACCTTGTTGTCCCAGGTAAACCTAGAATCTGGGACAGCGCCAGAAGGGGACCGTCGGGGCCTCTGGATGGGGTGTCAGGGCTTCCGGGTGGACAGATCAGCCTCAGGGTCTCTGCCAGGGTATACCTCCTTCGCCCCCAGCCTCCTCCTGAGACCTCAGCTCCCCCCGCCCGTATTCCCAGCCGACCGAGCCTCGCCCTGTCCGTTTTCACTTTTAAGCCCAAGTCCCCAAGACAGGGATTGGGGCCCACAGAGCAGAAGAGACTTGTCTAGAAGCTCACCTTAAAGTTCTCTCCCTCTCCGAGCCCCAACACGTTGGGTCTGTGCCTCAAGGGTACATTTACAATCTGATTCTCGTGTGGGCATAGGAATTCCATCCTACCGGCCCACCCAGAAGCCTCGCTCTGGGAAGGCAAGGCTTGGGTTGGGCCTAATTCCTGCAGACCAGAATGCTAGCTCGGGGCCAGGCTGCAGAAGGAGAGAAGAAAGCGGGGAGGAGAGGGGAGGGGAGGTGGGAGATGAAGCCGGGCAGGGTGGCAGCATTCAGGACCTGCGACCTTACCCCCACAGGGGCTACTGGAGCAACGGGAACCATCCATTCAGCAGGTGCTTCTGATTTGAGCACCTCCCATAAGCTCAGCCTCGAACAGACACTGAAGTGACAGCAGAGGACGATGCAGAGTCCCATCCTCGTAGCACGTGCCTTCTGGAACTTCCCGAGGAGATGGCAGCTGGCATTGTCAGATGCAAATGACAGAGATGCAAACGGAACAAGCTTAATCAAAAATGGAAAATCTAGGGGCGTCCGGGTGGCTCTGTCGGTGGAACGTCTGACTCTTGATTTCGGCCCACGTCATGATCTCACGGTTCACGGGATGGAGCCCCGCGTCGGGCTCTGCGCTGACAGTGAGGAGCCTGCCTGGGATTCTCTCTCTCCCTCTCTGCCCCTCCCCAGCTCATTCTCTCTCACTCTCTCAAAATAAATAAACTAATAAAAAATGTTTACAAAAATGGGAAATCCGTTGACTCCAGTGACCCAAATGTAGGTCAGGCCGCGGAGGTGCTGGCTTTAGGCACTTTGGTTGAGGCGGTTGAGACCCTGCATGCCTCTGGCTCCGCCTCCTGTCCCTACTTCCTCTGCTGTCACTGCGGACCTCTCTCTCCTCCTGGCTGCTCCAGATCCACTTCCTCAAACTCGCCACCAGAGCACAAAGTCACTTTTGTTCTCCCCACTCTAGATTCTAAAGCCCCAGCGAAGGACTGTGATAGGCGCATGTGGTGTCGTGTGACCACCCTTTGGCCCAGTCACGGTGGCCGGAGAACTGGGTCCGTCAGAAAAAGCAAGGAAGGGCGCCTGGGTGGCTCAGACAGTTAAGCTCCGACTCAGGTCATGATCTCGCGGTTTGTGAGTTCGAGGCCCGCGTGGGGCTCTGTGCTGACCGCTGAGAGCCTGGAGCCTGCTTCGGATTCTGTGTCTCCCTCTCTCTCTGCCTCTCCCCCGCTCGTGCTCTGTCTCTCAAAACTAAATAAAAACATTTTTAAAATTTTTTTAAAAGGAGAAGCAAGGAAATAGCGCAGGGCAGACAGGCTCAGACGTCCGTCCCCCATGGCTACGATTTAGTTTGCTGCTCGTATCGGCTCTGGAACGGAAGATGGTGTAGTCCACCCAGGTGACTGTAGCGGAAGTACCAGGGACTGAGTGGCTTATAAACAACAGAAGCTTACTTCTTACAGTTCTGGAGGCTGGGAAGTCCAAGATCAAGGCTCTGGCAGATACGGTTTCAGGTGAGAGCTCTCTTCCTGGTCCATAGCGCTCGTCCTGATGTGTCGTCATGTGGCAGGAGGGGCAAGGGAGCTCTTGGGGGGCTTCTTTTATGAGGGCGCTAATCCCATTCCCGAGGGCTCCACCGTCCTGACATAATCATCTCCCGAAGGCCGCGCCTCCTACCACCGTTACAAACCGGGGATTAGGATACAACGCAAACATTCAGACCGTAGCAGAGGGCAAGAAGAAAGGGCAAGGCCCTGGGACCCCCTTTCCGGAGAAACTGAGGCCTTGAGAGCTCCCTCCTATCGTGACAACGCCAAGCCAGGCGAGCGCCAGCCCCGAACCCAACCCCCCGATGGCGAGCCCCCGCCGCCCCCCGCACCAGAGGCCAACTCAGTTGGGACTTAATTCCTGCTGGGGTTGAAGCGAGCAAAGGGAAACTGGGTTTCAAATATGTTTTGGGAAATTTTGCTGAGATTGAAGCGGCATGGCCCAGGGCACATCTCCGCACAAACGCGCACGGAGAGGGGACGGTAGCCTGGTTCGGATCGCACCCCGGGGCTGTGCGTGTGAGCCCGCGAAGGGTTTTAGGAACGATATCGTCCGCCCAGATGGGTGATGCAAGGCGCCCTGAAAAGCTGGAAAAAGATCATCACAGCTACTAGTTATTTTGTGCCAGACATTCTAAATATCAGGGGAGCACGTTTCCCCCCACTGCTGAAGTGTCCATTGGGGCAGGGTGCCCCCTATTCGCTTCCTGATCCTCCTCCCCTCCCCCCCCCCACCCCCGGGGAGGAGAATGGACTCCCCGGACTGGTGGAGTTTGGAGCAGGAATGACCGTGCCCAGCGTAGTTCCTTCTGGGCATGCTCCTTTCCAACCGGCCACGTGCAGGGAGGGTCTACCTCCTGCAAGTGTCTGAGTCAACTGGGTTCCGAATCTGCCAGGGGAGAAGTTGTATTTCTTGGCCTCCCCAAACCCCCAACAGCAGGTACATAATAATTATCCAACAACACGGTAAGGTGCGTATTACTATTATTCCCATTTGAAGGACAGGGACAACTGAGGCTAAATGACCTAAGACCACCCACTCTTCAGGGATGGGACCGAGGGATTCAGAAGCTGGCGTGTCAGGCACACAGCCTGTGCCTCGGGCACCCTTAGAACTCAGGCCTGGTGACTCCCGTCCAGTTCTCGCTCCGTGGCACTTGCCATCTCCCCTCACAGACCAGACCTCAGAGAAAACCATCAGACGTCACCACTGCCTTCTAGAAGCTTGCAGTGAAAACCAGACGCATCGAGAGTTCTCATCAGAAAGCACTGAATGAGATGCCGTGTAAAAACAGGCTTCTAGCCAGCCACCTAGAAATAACACTGTGTAACCAGCTCAGGGCAAAAGTGTGCGAGCATTCCGTATAAAAGCACACGCAGAGGGGCGCCTGGGTGGCTCAGTCGGTTGAGCGGCCGACTCTTGATTTCAGCTCAGGTCATGATCCCAGGGTTGTGGGATCAAGCCCCATGTCAGGCTCCGCGCTGAGCACAGAAGCTGCTTAAGAGTCTCTCTCTTGGGGCGCCTGGGTGGCTCAGTCGGTGATTCAGCGTCCGACTTCGGCTCAAGTCATGATCTCGTGGTCCATGAGTTCGAGCCCCGCGTCAGGCTCTGTGCTGACAGCTCAGAGCCTGGAGCCTGTTTCAGATTCTGTGTCTCCCTCTCTCTCTGACCCTCCCCCATTCATGCTCTGTCTCTCTCTGTCTCAAAAATAAATAAACGTTAAAAAAAAATTAAAAAAAAAAAGATTCTCTCTCTCTCTCTCTCTCTCTCCCTCCCTTCCTCTGCCCCTCTCCCCTGCTCATGCTCTCTATCTCTCTAAAATTAAAAATTAAAAATTAAAAGTACATGTAGAATGCTGGCAACCAGGCATGGTGTGCAGGATGTGCTCGACACATTCTGGTTCCCGTCTGTGTGACCTTGGACAAGTCACCTGCCCTCTCTGAACCTTGACTTCTTTGCCTACGTGCTGGTTGTAATGATGGCACCCAGCGAGATGGGTTCTGTGAGGATGCTATGGAAACGTGTATGGAGAAGCTGTGTGCAATATGCCAGCTCAGGACAATGGCAGAGGGCTAGGATTCTCTCCTACACCCCACAGGAGCCCCAGTGAGCTCTCCCGGATTCCTGACCCTAAGCCAGTACTGGCCTGACTCACAGAGGATCAGACGGTCACAGTCTGGTAAGAAAGGGCAATTCTGATGGGCAGACCGTCGTAACCTGGGCTTGGTACTGGGTCATCCACTCCCGAGCAGGCCAAGGAGGGCCCTCTGATTCACCCCGTTTCCCCAGACCAGTGTGGGAGGCGGCCCGGAGGAGGGCCTAGGTGAACAGGTGTAGCATGAATGTGTGTGTGAGCATGTCAGTAAATGAGTTCGATCCACAAATATTTACTGAGTGCCTATTATACGCCAGGCGCTATGAATTGTGGAGTAAAAGCGGCCCTGTCCTGCCCTCACGGAGCCTCCAGTCTACCGGGGCAGAATATGAAACAACACACACAGATCGATCATGGAGGCCTCGTGGGCTTCAGCACAGAATTCGGATTTTACCTTAAATCTCATCGAAGGCCATTCTGAAGTTCTCTGCAGGGAGAGACGGGACCCGATCGGCTGTGGCCGCTAAGGTGGGTCCAGACGACGGGTCGTGGCAGCTGAAACGGGCGTGATGGCCGTGGCCATGGTGCAGTAGCCGTATGGGGGGTGCACTTTGGAGCTGGAAGCCACACCATGTGACGGGCTTTCTGGACAGGAGAAATGGTCAGCGTTGAGTTGGGGACATGGGGAGTTGGGCGTGTCCTGGGGACGTCCAGGCGGAGGTGTTAAGGGGCAGCAGGGTACAGGGGCTGGTGCTCAGGGGTGAGTGCTAGAGGGTTTGGGGACGGAATGGGGGCCAGGTGAGTGGGTGCCCTCACTAGAGCCGAGGGCTGATCTGCTGTGCATGGAAGCAGGTCTTGAGAGTTCTTGGGAACTGGGACTCTGAGTTGGGAGACCCAGCTGGCCCCGACCCCTCCACAGCCCACCTCCCCACTTCTTCCGGCCACACTGGCACACATTCCTGCAGTTTCGGGGAGAGAAAAGGCTCGGGCAGGAAGCAGCGATGGAGGCAGCGTGGGCGGACTCCGGGGAGGACGGGAGGGGTGGGGGAGGGGGGGAGAGAGGCCGGGATGCCCCTTCCTCCACCGGTCATGCAGCTGTCCAGGCCGAGCTGCGCACAGGGAGTCACAGGCTTGCACTTCGTGCCTCCACCTCTAGGGGGGGCCAGCGTGCCATCAGGTATGGAGCTCGGTGTCAGTCTTGGTCTTCGGGACCCTCCTTTCTGTCACTTTCCCACCTGAACGGGCGGCCCTCCTCTGCTCTCCACGATCCCACTTGAAGACACAGACTTGGCCCGGGCAATTCTGCCAACTTTCAAGCTCTCGTCTGTGCATACTGGGTGCTTACTCGATGTTTGGTGCGTTGAATCAAAAGTGTTTGATTCATAGTTCTCAAGCTAGGCTGAAGATCTCTCTCTCTTTTTTTTTAGAATGTTTATTTTGAGAGAGAGAAAGAGAGAGCGTGCACCTGCGTGCAAGCAGGGGAGGGGCAGAGAGAGAAGGAGACAGAGAATCCCAAGCAGGCTCTGTGCTGTCCGGCCCAGAGCCCAACACGGGGCTGGAACTCACAAACTGGGAGATCATGACCCTGAGCCAAAACCAAGACTCGGATGCTTAACGGGCTGAGCCACCCAGGTGCCCCTGTCTTTCTTTCTGTCTCTGTCTCTGTCATAAGATGGTGGGGGTAGGGGGTTTCTCCTCGGGAGACCAATCCCAGCTCTGGATGGTTGAGGAAGATTTTTCTCCCCAGGTTTCAGATCTGCAAAAGGCACCCCCCAGCCTGTCTCCAGCTGCCAGCCTTAATCAGTCATGGCTGGAAGGAACAGCAGGGACCCTTCACTGGGCACTCACGGTGTGGCAGGTGCTGGCGGGCACGGTGCTAACGTCACCCGCATTGTCTCAGGTAATTCTCTCGATACCCCCATGACTTGATCCGGGAGGTACGTTCGGAAGGGTCTCAAGAAAGGCACTCAAGCGGCACCTGGGTGGCTCAGTCGGTGAAGCATCCGACTTCAGCTCAGGTCACGGTCTCGCGGTTCGTGGGTTCAAGCTCTGCGTCGGGCGCTGTGTTGACAGCTGGGAGCCCGGAGCCTGCTTCGGATCTGCGTGTCCCCCTCTCTCGTGTGCTGTCTCTCTGTCTCTTAAAAAATGAATGAGTATTGAGGAGGGCACCTTTTGGGATGAGCACTGGGTGTTGTATGGAAACCAATTTGACAATAAACTTCATATATTGAAAAAAAAACGAATGAACGTTAAAAAAAAAATTAAAAAAAAAAAGGACACTCAAGAGGGCCAAGTGACTTCCCAAGGACACTCAGTAACTTCATGGCAGGCCTGTCTGACCTCAGGGTCTCTGCTCCTGGTCACTTTGCTTCCGAAGTGACCGCCCCTCGGGAGGCCACTCAGAAGTGACCATGCAGGGGCGCCTGGGATGGCTCCGTCGGTTAAGCGTCCAACTTTGGCTCAGGTCACAATCTCACAGTTTGTGAGTTTGAGCCCCGCATCGGGCTCTGTGCTGACAGCTCAGCTCAGGGTCTGGAGCCTGCTTCGGATTCTGTGTCTCCCTCTCTCCTTGCCCCCCCCCCCCCCCCGGCTCGTGCTCTGTCTCTCTGTGTCTCTCAAAAATAAATAAACGTTAAAAGAAGTTTAAAAGAAAAGAAAAAAAGAAGTGACCATGCAGAGAGACCTTGGAAGGGACTAGAAGGTCATAAAAGGAAATGACATGACTTGGTGACACTGCTCCCTGGCTTCCCCGCCCCCCACCCAGGTGCACAGAGGTCTCCTCTCTGTGACTCCCCACTGCACCAGCCTGGGAGCCAAAGTCACAGTGTCTCTCGCCCGGGACAGAGAGACACGACCCTCACATCAATGCCAGTAACGGTTTACCCACTTGGCTTCCTGTTAGGTTTTTTCTTCCTTCCCCGCAAGGGTGTCTCTTATCTTAAACTTCTAAGGGGGGTTTGTGCTGGGCTGTTTAGAATTTGATGACAGTTGGTGCCAGAAACTGGCCTCTCGGGGAAAATGAGGGGGAGAAAAGCAAGCCCAGGTGGGCCCTGGGTCTGGAGCGGACGGGACAGGCAGGACAACGCCAAAGCCGTGCCCAGCTGTCTGCCCATGTCAGGCTCCATCTTCCGGACAGGGCCAGCTTCGGCAGGGGGAAGTGCGGGGAGAGGCAGGGAGCTACAAGGAACCCACCCGACGGATGACCAAGAGGCAGTTGGGCCTGCTGGGCTGAGGGGTTTGCTTTGGCTCCTGAACTGGGAGCTCTGGGTAATTCATGACAGAGGCACAGTGAGAGAATCTGCCACGGAACCTGGCCCCTCCATATCTTTCTGCTACCCGGCCATCCCCTGGTAAAGACCTTTTGATGCCCTGCCACGTGTGCTCTGTGTGACCCGGTGGCCCAGTTCTAACGAGCGTCCCGCATCCTCCTGGGGTCTCTAAGGGATGGCCTTGCCCTTGTCAATCTGCCCAGAACGCTTGCCAGCCCGGAGCCCTGTCTGCACCCGCGGATCCCCGCCTCACCCAAGCCCCAGAGCCCCAGACTCAGCTTCACTCAGGGCTGCCAGGCTGCCGGTCCTTCCTCCTACCTGCTCCTGCCCCGAGGCGTCTGTCCACCTGAGGGACCACCTCCTGACCAAACGTAACTCGCACCCTGGGAGGCCGAGGGTCTGCACTCGTGACCCCCAGTCGTCTGTAAACCAGCCAGCTCCCAAGCCCCCTGACCATCCCTCTGGGCCCGTCCAGGGCCCAAGTTCAAGGCTGACCCAGATCTGGCTAACTCTGAATCTCTGTCCAGTACTCAACCTGTGCCGTGTCTGGGCCATGTAAGGAACAGATGAGGTGAATGAACAGAGAGAGAGAGAGCTGGCTTGGGTTCAGTCGGGAGAAATGGTCTTACGGCAACCTGGGATGGAGGCGTGGCCTGGGGTTGGGTTGGCCAAACTCTGACCAGTGATGGCAAACGAGATGCTCTTATCTGTCATCCAGAAACCGACCCCTCCGGCCGCCGCCCCCCCCCCCCCCACAGAGAACCAGACACCTGGATCCCCGACTTCAGTCGAGATGCCGCAAAACACAGGGGAATGGCCTAAGTGGAATCCCACCAACCCTACTAACCTGCCAGACTCCACTCTGAGATCTAGGAAGGAAGTCAGTGCCCAAGAGGGTCACACGATCTCTCAGACGCTGCCTGTGGTCACGGTCATGTCCAAGGCGAGGTGTACGGGAAACAGCAACACCTGAGGAGAAAGGAGAAGGTGTGAGAGCCCCAGGTGGCTGTTCCCGTGCCCGGCTGCCTCCCTGCCCCACAACCAGACTGGGCAGCACTGGCCAGAAGGTGCTTGAGGGAGGGCTGAGAAACCCGGGGAAGGAGAGAGACAGCAGCAAGTGCAGGGGGACCGGTGTTCACAGATCACCACTGTGAAGACACACGTGGGGACCGCATGTGTCCGGGGCTGTGGGTAATACGGGGACACCGAGGCGCCAGGGAGTGGAAGGAAAACTGACATGTGTGAAAGTCTCTGAAGTTACTCATTCATTTTCCCGTTCAGTCCTTCAACAAATATTTCTTGAGCTTCTTCTAGGCATGTAGGATAGTACAGAGATAAGAGCCCAGACTCTGGGGCCAAATGGCCTGAGTTCAAGTCCCTTCTCTGCTTTTTTTTTTAAATACAGATGCTTCTTTTTTTTTTTTTATGTTTATTTATGGGGGGGGGGGGTGGCAGAGAGAGAGTCGGACAGAGGATCCGAAGCGGGCTCTGTAAGGACAGCAGAGAGCCGGGTGCAGGGCTCGAACTCATGAACCATGAGATCATGACCTGAGCCAAAGTCGGATGCTTTGGCTCCAAAGACGGTGCCACCCAGGCGCCCCTTTAATTGTTTTCTTAGTTGCGGTAAAATACACATAACATTTACCATCTTTACCATTTTTAAGTGCACATTTGACCATGACCTGTGCAAAGGGACTATCTGTGTTTCTGGCTCTACCTAACCATTTTTCCAGTGCTTTCTGTCTCCTTGTGGGCAAAGGCTGCAAGGGACATAACATTGTGGACAGAAATCCTGGACCTTGAGAATGCCCCAGCTGTGCCTCTCCTGGGCAAAGTGGGACTGTGTGTGTGTGTGTGTGTGTGTGTGTGTGTGTGTGTGTAGTGGCAGGAAGCAGACCCCCCCCCCCCCCCCAGGGAAGAGAGTCCCTATACTTCATTCCTACATCTCTCTCCCAGCCTGCTGGAAGCCTGAGTCAGCCTGCAATCTGCTTTTTCTCTGGAGTCAGGCTGGGCCCCTGGGATGTGAGGGTGGGGAAGCTTGGGTCACTGTCAAAGAGGGAGGGGGAGGGGGAGAGCTGGAGCATTCTGGGAAGGAAATCCCCATGGGGAAGGCGGGCAGGTGGTGGGTACCTGGACAAAAGGGGCTCTAAGGGAGACAGGGATGTGTGGGGCCCGAGGAGGGAGGGGTGTGTTGAAGAGGTAAGAATGGTTGCGGATGAGAAGGTTGGAGGGAGTGGGTCACCCCTGCCCTTGAGGAGCAGAGGCCCCTTGCACTTTCCCCGCACCGACTGAGCAGGGACTGTCCAGGAAGGTGGATCTGGCCTGGCTCGGGGGACCAACGCTCACCCAGAAGACGTCACTGGCTCTGGAATGTAGAAAGAGAGCTGGGAATGCCGTGACAGCGGCCTGGCAACCGGCAGGACGTCAGGGCTCCTCCCTTCCCCCCACCCAAGGGCCAGTCCCTCTCCTCCGAGCCCGGGACGCGCACAGAACCACAAGGGACAAGAAGAGACTCCTGGAATGTCTCCCAGCGGAAGGGCCCTTGAAAAATCCAACCTTGTTATCCAGGCTGGGAAACTGAGGCTCGGAGAGGGGGGTGCCCCCCCCCCCACCACCACTTGCGCGTCCCCGCTCCGCCCGCGCCAGGCAGGGGGCGCCCTTCCCCGCCGCCCGGGCCCCGCGGCCGCCGCGCCTGGCCGGTCCCCTAAGGAAAGTCCTCTTAAAGAGTTTTTCCTTTCGCGTGAACTCACCGCCTCCATCCAGCCGCGCGGTCTCAAAGGTGAACATCACACAAATGCGTTACAGATGTGTTTCCTTCCATTTTTGGCTACCGCGGGGCGCCTGCGAGCGGCGGCGGCGGCCCCGGCGCGATCCAGGCCGCGTTTTCCGTGCCGCCCGCCAACTTTTTCAAGCTGTAGTTATTTGATAATGATTTTTTTTTTTTTTTAAACCTCTCCCAATAATTGTTATCCTCCCCGCCCGGTGCAGCTCAGGTGATGGGCACAGACTGCAGACGCCTCCTCCTCCTCCTCCTCCTCCTCCTCCTCCTCCTCCTCTGGGTGCTCGGCGGCCGCCCCCAGGGTGAGAAACCACAGCCCAGGCACCTTCGGCAAAGCCAAGGTCCAGGGTTCGCGTCTGGGCTAGCCCGGCCCCGTGGGACGACCCCCCTCTCAATCGCTCCCACGATTCTGCACGACCGACCCCTCCTCCCATAACCAGGCCACCTCCCCAAAGGCCACACACGGGGCAGGGGTGGGGGGGGGCATGGCTGTCTGCTGGAAGACTGAACAGAGAGGGTGTGCTGGGCACAGAGCCTCACGCTGCAAACCTTTATTGGGCACCTGCTGTATCCCCAGGCCCTGAACAAAGCCCTGACCTCAAAGACAAGCAAGAACATTGCCTGCCCTCGGGGCTCCCAGTCCAGAGGCGCCTGGGACCACACACCCCTAAGCAGGAAAGAGAAGAGGGCTTCCAGGGCGGGATTGGGGCCGGAAGTTGCTCCGGGTGGCAAGTGGCAAAGCTGGTCACGGAGGGCTTGCCACCCCCACCACAAGGCCCCAGGGAGAGCTGCCACACCCTCTTTCCTCACCCTTCATCCCTTCCTCGGGCCCCTGCAAAGGGGGGTCACCGCCAGCCTGAGTGGAGGCCTCTTCTAAGCAGCTACAGGACTCAGAAGATCGGGTCCCACCGGTCGGGGTACATAGCCAGCAGCCCAGGCTGTTGGGGTCCCCGAAGCCACGGCTTCAGACGTCAAGCAGGAGTCCGAAAGACAAGGCCAGGACGGAAGCACTTGTCCCTTTTGGAGTTCAACCCCCCGAGGGAGGGGCCAGGTGAGCTCTGGCTTTCACATGTAAGGGTCCCACGCGTTTCTGATGTTCAACTGCAGTGGTTTGATGGAGCCCTTTGCTCGGGAGGAAGTGACACCCCCAGAAAGCCCAAAGCCCTTTAGTTAAACCTGAATTCGTTTTAAGTTTTTACATTGATACATTTGAGGTAAAATTGGGGCAGCCAGCAGCAGGGGGTGAAGGAGGAGGAAGTGAAAGGTTAAAAAGGCAGAGGGGCCGCGTTGGGCCGCAGAGAAGAAAGGGGTGCTGGCTGGAGGCCAGCGAAGAGTGTCCTTGGGCAAAACCGGACGGTTCCGCCCCTCCACTCCCCTCACTACTGGCTCTTCTCCGAGCCGTCCAACCTCTTGGAACATGGCGCCCATCACTTCCCGCATCCAGTGGCCGGCCTCAGAGACACAGCGTGCTCAAGAGATACCAGTCAATCCCAGTGAATGCCAGGGTAGCTGAGGGGCAGCGCAGGAGTGTTGCGGTCGGCTCTTTCACAAACCTGCCAACTCCCCCCACCAAGTGGTGGGACCCTCTGGGAGCCTTGGAGAAATCCCTCTCTTCCTGTCTCCCTGGATCCAGCCAAGCGCACAGCCCTCCAGGAGGGGGCTCCCAGAGGCACCTCCCCTCCTCATCCTGCCTGGAGGAGGGGCGTCAGCTGCAGGGCTGGAGGCCCCTTGTCTGAAAAGAAGCAGGATTTATCTCAGTTTGGGGAGGTCCGGGGCCCTGGAGTCCTAGATCATCATTAGTTCCATCAAAGAGGCGGCTGGGATCTGAAGGGGGCAAGATGCATGGCGTTCAAATTGGAAACAGCCTGGTGGGCTACGGGGCAGGAGCAGGGCTGGGAGAGGACTCGGGCCTCCCCTGGGGGGCCCGGGACACTGGAGGAGTCCCACAGACAGTGCACAGGAAGAGGAGGAGGAGGAGGGAAGAGAAAACATTCCTCTCGGGCTCCAGGGAAGAGAGCCGAGCAAGATGGAGCACAGCCAGGTCTGCAAGTGAACGTGACCTCCCCGAGGGGGTGGTGAGTGGAGGCGGCCAGTCCCACTAGCGGCCCGAGGGCCTAGTGTGTGTCTGGCCCCGTGCTGCACACCCGCGTGCGTCCTCTCAGCCCGCCCACAGGAACAGAAAGCACTGCCTTTGCTTTACAGATGGGGAAACTGAGGCTGGCAGGGGAGGACTCCTGTGCCCAGGGTCACCCAGGGCACCCGCAGAGCCGGGGTTCCGGCTCAAATGCCTTGCTCTTCAGGACCTCATGCTTCCCGGAAAAGGGAGCGCAGAAGGAAGAGTGTCTTCCAACTCTCCCTGCTGGTGCCCAGCCTGGAGCAACGGCCCGATTTTAAACTCTAGGCGTAACCTAGAGATAGAGAAACAGGACAGAGATCTCTTGGAGATACTGGGAAGCGGTAATACCACAGACAGGAACGGAATTTGTTTATTTATTGTTTTTAAGTAGCCTCTGTGCCCAGCGTAGGGCTTGAACTCATGACTGTGAGATTAACAACTTCGAAGGGGCGCCCGGGTGGCTCAGTCGGTTAAGCGTCAGACTCTTGACTTCAGCTCAGGTTATGACCTCCCGGTTGGTGAGTTCGAGCCCTGTGTCGGGCTCTGCGCTGACAGTGTGGAGCCTGCTTGGGATTCTCTGTCTCCCTCTCTCTCTGCCCCTCTCCCACTGGCTCGCTCTCAAAATAAATCAATTTTTTAAAAAATTAAAATTGGGGCACCTGGGTGGCTCAGTCGGTTAAGCCGCCGACTTCGGCTCAGGTCATGATCTCGCGGTCTGTGAGTTCGAGCCCCGTGTCGGGCTCTGTGCTGACAGCTCAGAACCTGGAGCCTATTTCAGATTCTGTATCTCCCTCTCTCTGACCCTCCCCCATTCATGCTCTGGCTCTCTGTCTGTCTCAAAAATAAAAATAAAAACGTTAAAAAAAAATTAAAAAAATTAAAATAAAAAAAAATAGTCACACGCTCTACTGACTAAGCCAGCCAGGCGCCTCCAGAATAGGATTTAAATGACACATTCAGGGGCGCCTGGGTGGCGCAGTCGGTTCAGCGTCCGACTTCAGCCAGGTCACGATCTCGCGGTCCGTGAGTTCGAGCCCCGCGTCGGGCTCTGGGCTGACGGCTCAGAGCCTGGAGCCTGTTTCCGATTCTGTGTCTCCCTCTCTCTCTGCCCCTTCCCCATTCATGCTCTGTCTCTCTCTGTCCCAAAAATAAATAAATGTTGAAAAAAAAAATTTAAATGACACATTCAACTGTAAAAACATCTATAAGATCTCTCCCCACCGGTGTGCTTTGCTGGCGACTGACCTCTTTCTAGACGTCCCCCCCGTCAATTCCAAAAGATGTCCTATAAGCTTGGACTCTCACGGACCTCCAGACATCTGACCCCCATGCCCCCCAAAAGCCCCTCTCCAGTGGACAGAGAGCACGTGGAGCCACACGCCTGGGGTGCTGACTAGCTGTGGGCACCCGGGTGCAGCCCTGTGCCCCCCGGGCTCCAGTGCCCGGCCTGGGAAGAAGGCACGTGCCTTAGTGAGCAAGGCCTCCAGCCCCACAGGGGCCCCAGAAGTTGGCCCAGAAAGGACACTTGAAGGTCTTTAAGGGGAGACAGAGCCAGAGAAATGCTCAGGCTAGGAAGCCATCTCCAGGGGAGGGGGAAAAATGAGCGACAAGAAGTACCAAGGATGTTCCGGAAGCTTTACGCACGATGCCAAGAAACGGGATGCAGCCGAACGCCACATCACTGTTCCAAGCGGCGCTCGTGGCTGGGGTTCGTGAACATGGGAAATGCTTCAGGACGACACGAGGATTACAGAAGGTAAGTAAGGTAGGTGCCTGCAACATGATGGACACCGACGTTTGCCCCTGGTTGGAGTGCGATTAAAAAGCAGGAATGAGTAAACACGGTATATGGAATGATCTCGAGTCTGTAAAACATGCGTAGAAAAAGGCGGGAAGGAAATGCAACAAAATGTTGCCGAGTTGTGGGATTAGAGATTTTCTGTAAGGGGCGGGTTTTTTAAAATGTGTTTTAGTTCAAGATTCCCCAGCGTCTTCATTGGAAACAGTTCAAACATGCAGCCAAGTTGGTACCTCTTTCCAGTTCTATCACTAACTTTGTATTATGCTACGTCACGTACCCGCCTATCCCTCCCTCGATCCACCCATAAATCCACCTTGGTTTGGTTTTGTGTTTTAATGCATTTTAAAGTAAATTGCAGGCAACGGTAACTTCGCCCTACGTACTTCAACACGCGCGCCAGGAAGAAATGTTTTTCATAGCTACTACCTAGGGGACAGAGGCTGTCCTCAGCTCTGAGAAAAGCAGCCCCCAGCCCCACCGGCCTTGCGGCAGGCTGGTCCGGAGGAACGGAGGCTGGTTTGGGGTGAGGTCTGGCCCCCTGTCTTACTCTCTGGGTGATCTGCCGTCCCCGGAGCCCTGTGGTTTCTGGGCAAACACAAGGCAGGGATAATGAGATGTAAATAAACCTCTGGTCATCTGAGGGCACGCTGAAGGTTACTTGAAATGAAGCCTGCACTCACCTTGGGCTTCCTGCGGGGATAGAAGTGTCAGATTTAACAAATAAAAAATACAGGGCACCCAGTTAAATTTGAATTTCAGATAAACAACGCCTTTTTTTTTTTTTTCAGTGTAAGTGGGTCCCAGGCAATGCTTGGGGCATGCCTATATGAAGAAGTATCCAGTCTATACTTTATCTGGCAATGCTTTGCGAGACGGGGAGATCGACGCCCCTGGAAGGAAGCAAGCCAGAAGATGGGAACCGGGTTGGGATTCTTGATGGTAAAGCCTCCCGTTCGGGCTGTGCTTTGTACTTGACCAAGTGGTTTTTTTCTATCCCACCTGAGATCCACTGTCGCCCTCCAGGAGAGTATTCTCTTATTCCCACTTGAAGTTGAAGGACTTAAGGCTCAGGTCATCCAGGGTCCCCACCCGGCTGACAAGGTGAGCCGCCTCAGTGTCTGGTCTCCCGGGGGGCCTCTCCCCGACCCTAGTTCTTCTCTTGGAAACCTCAGCAGACCCCATACGTGGGCCCTGAAACCCACCGGCGGGGCTCCAGGATGGGCCCTGCATCCTGAAGCTTCAGGGCTCAAGGCCCGCCACCCCCACGATAGTTAACCTTGTGTGTCAGTTGCCCGGGACGTGGGGTGCCCAGATGTTTGGCTAAACTTAATTTCCGGGTGTGTCTGTGAGGGTGTTTCTGGACGAGATTCGCCTTTGAATCAGTAGACTGAGTAAAGCAGATGGCCCTCCCCCAACACAGGTGGGCCTCGCCTAACCAGTTGAGGGCCTGCATAGACTCTCTTCCTGACTGCGAACCCGGACCTCGGTCTTCTCCAGCACTCAGACTGGAACTTGCCACTGGCTGGCCCTGGGCTGCAGGCCTTAGGGCTTTGGCTAGCGCTTACACCCTCAGTTTTCCTAATTCTTGGACTGAAACTCAACCAGCTTTCCTGGGCCTCTAGCTTGCAAACGGCAGATCGTGGGACTTAACAGTCGCCATAATCACAGAAGCCGATCCCTTCCAGTGAATCTCTCTTTATCCCTCTGTGTATCTGGAGAACCCCCTCAGAGAGGTCACACAGGTCAGCCTGGGCAGCTGGAAGGGACCGATGTCAGCTAATGCCAGCCAGCAGAGGACTTGGCAGGTCGCATGTCACATGGTGGGGCCGGGGCTCCCGGAGGTCACGGGGCAAGGTACATACGGCAGGACAGAGGGGGCATCCAGGCTTCCACCTCATGAAGGCTCTTTTCAGGGCACCCTCGGGCTGGACCCGTGGCTTCGTGGGGAGGACGCAGGTGCGGATGGCGGCAGTGTGGGGCGACAGAAGCCACACGCCAAGGCGTGTAGGTGGGAAAGGAAGCTGGCCCAGTGCCGTCCCCGTCCCCCCACTCTCCTCCCAGGCATGCAGCCGCTCCTTCGTTTGAATTCCATCCCAGTGTTTGACCATTTGTTTACCTGCACGCTTAGTAACTACCCCGTCCGCCGGTGGACAGGAGTGAGAGTTTGACAAGTCTCCGGCTAACTGTTTTCCAAAAGGCTTCTTGATTTTCTAATAACCACCCCTCCTTCAACTCGAGACTGGGGCAGCCAGTTTGGAGACCCGTGAGTTAAGGCTTCAAGGGTAAAATATGGAAGCTGGGCTCACACACCTGTCGGGGCCATAAGGTTCTCCGAGGCACCATCCCTGAGAGCTGCCTTTGCTTCCTTCCTTCGTCCTGGCGTGAGGACCTGCCCGGCCGTTGTCAGTGTCAGCCACCAGGTCCCTCCCAGGGTCCAAAACAAGCCTCCTCACTTGTCCCAGGGCTTGGCCAAGCCAGGGCCGAGTGCAAAGCTGAGATACAGGCTGTCCCGGGTGATGGTGTTGAAGCTCCGGTCGGCGCCAGCCGTCATGGGGAAGCTGAGCCTCTGTGCGGCTCTGGTGAGACTCAAGTTCTAGCGTCTTTCTTACATCGGGTCTGCGGATGCGCCCCATGCGTCCGTCCGTTGCTTCACGTTTGTTGCATTTAAGCAGTTACGTAAAAACGTTTAATTTGTTTTGGGGACTGGCTGGCTCGGTTGGTTGAGCGTCCGAGTTTGGCTCAGGTCATGATCTCACAGGTCGTGAGTTCGAGCCCCGCGTCGGGCTCTGTGCTGATAGCACGGAGCCTGGAGCCTGCCTCGGATTCTGTGTCTCCTTCTCTCTGCCCCTCCCCCACTCACACTGTTTCTCTCTCTCTCTCTCAAAAATAAATAAAAAACATTAAAAAGGTTTTTAAATCTAGTAATAAACCGGGGCGCCTGGGCGGCTCAGTCAATTAAGTGACCGACTCACTTCGGCTCAGGTCATGATCTCACAGTTCATGAGGTCGAGCCCCGCATCAGGCTCTGCACTGACGGCTTGGGATTCTCTCTCTCTCCCTTGCTCTCTGCCCCTCCCCCACTGCTAGCTTGCACGCGTGCTCTCTCTCTCTCCCCCCCCCCCCAAAAAATTAAATAAATAAATACACTTCAAATTTAGTGATACAGTAACTAACACTTTTATGGGTCGAATATTGTTGGATGCTGTTCCGACAAAGCAGGGAAAGTTCCACCATCTGAACTTGCATGATCTCCCTGCACCCCAACACCCACACACACTGCCCCCACGCCAGCATCTTTATTCTCTGAAGGAAAGGGGTTTTTGTTTTGTTTTTAGTTTGAACCCCCCCCCCGCGGCCCCCCCTCCCCGAGATTCGTCTCTGGCGAGTTTCCTTTGCTGTCTACCAAATGGTTTTGAAATAGTCATCATTTCTCTGAGATGCTAAAGATTGCTTTTACTTCTGAAGGCAATGAAAACATGTCTACAGTTTCACTTTGAAGCTCGTCGGGGAAGAAAAAAACCCCTATAACATTTAGCACGTGTAAAGGAATTCTCAATTCATGGGCCACCTGTGTGTCTGATAATCGTTTAATGCTGCTTCCCAAGTTTCAATAATCTTTGCAAGCCGCTCAAATCGCGGCAGATAAAGCCTGCTGATGCACGGCCCGATGTGACTGGAGCGAACCACTCCGTGTCCCCGATACTGCCTCGCTGCTCTGGTTACATGTGTTTTGGGCAATCGCCAGTCTTGTGACAGACGCATGGGTGGCGTGGAACAAGGAACGGAGCGTCGTGGAAGCGCGTCACAGGCTTTTGCGTTTTTCTGCAGAGGCCTTGGCATCACAGAGCACAACCGATGGGCACGCCAGTACTCCTGAACACCTCTGGTGCTCGCGCCCCACGGCGTGGCACCCCCACATTTCCCACGTTTGCGTGGCGGATTTGATCGCCCGTGTTAGGAACCCCACTTTGATTTGCTGCAGGCAAATCTTTAGGGACCATATGTGAGTTGGCCCCGGTCATCTTTTTCGATACCAGCGAAATCCAGGCACCTCTGTGACTGACCCGGCGATCGAGACCTTTCCCGCCTACACTGCCAGGGCTCCTTCTCTGCCCGACCGGCGGTCCTGTCGCATGTTAGCCAATCGGGGAACATCGATTTCATCTGCTGTGCCCTGGAACGTTTCAGGTTTTATTTTTTTCTGGCGATTTCCTTTTGAATCTGCTGACTTCTTTAGGCACCGATGAATTCATGAGGTAGAATGGCTGGCTTTCTCTCTCTCCCTCCAAATTGCCTTTATTCACGGATGAAATACACTTGTCACGACTTCTTCAGGACAAACACTGTTTTCCAAGGGATAAAATACGTTTAACTCTGGATTTCCGGAATGTTCTGTTTCCTCAAGCTGTTAGGAGTGAGCAGATAATAATTTGTTAGTGACTGTTTCACCGGGAAATCGATGTTTTCTCCCCCGTCCCTGCCCCAACTGCAATGATTTCAGGTGCATTTTACATCTTTCGTGTTTTCAGATTTTTCACGGAGATTTTTTTTTTTCTCCCCAAACAGAAACTCCCTGTACTACGGGACTGATTCTCCTCTGCGGGTGCATTGTGTTGGCAAACCATCGGTACAAGAAATGAAGGGATCATGTTTTACCACCTCCTTTCCTACTCCCCTTGCAAATCTGAACATTAGGAGTCCTCATAATTTCCAGACGGGCCTTAAACTCCTCATACATTAAAAATAGATTTTGTCGGGGCGCCTGGGTGGCGCAGTCGGTTAAGCGTCCGACTTCAGCCAGGTCACGATCTCGCGGTCCGGGAGTTCGAGCCCCGCGTCAGGCTCTGGGCTGATGGCTCAGAGCCTGGAGCCTGTTTCCGATTCTGTGTCTCCCTCTCTCTCTGCTCCTCCCCCGTTCATGCTCTGTCTCTCTCTGTCCCAAAATAAATAAATAAACGTTGAAAAAAAAATTTTTTTTAAATAAAAAAAATTAAAAAAAAAAATAGATTTTGCGGTGGTTCCTGGGTGGCTCAGTCGGTTAAGTGTCCAGCTCTTGACGTAGGCTCAGGTCATGATCTCACAGTTCATAAGTTTGGGCCCCACATCGGGCTCTGTGCTGACAGCTCGGAGCTTGCTTGGGATTCTCTCTCCCTCTCTCTGCTTCTCCCCTCCCTCTCAAAATGAATAAATAAACTTTAAAAAATACATTTTGGGGCGCCTGGGTGGCTCACGTGGTTGAGCCTCCAACTCTTGATTTGGCTCAGGTCACGATCTCACAGTCGTGGGACTGAGCCCCACGTCAGGCTCCACGCTCAGATTGCTTAAGATTCTCTCTCTCTGCCCGTCTCCTCTGTTTGCACTTTCTCTCTTACACAAAAAATTAGTTTATTCATCCCACATTTCAAACCATACTACTTTCTCCCTATATATTGGCATCATTTGTATACAGATTATTCGGTAATAAGGAAACACCAGGAGTGCTGGATTGCACCAGGTCGACTCCAGCACAGAGCCCGACTCGGGCTCAAACTCACGAACCGCGAGATCACGACTGGAGCCCGAGTCAGCATCTTAACCAACTGAGCCACCCAGGTGCCCCTGATTCCCTGGCTCTTTGACTTTTCTGTCACATTTCCGACCGTTCAAGTAGTTTCTTTTTCCTCTGTCTTTGGGAGGTTGGGATGCCTCCGTTCATCCTCTGACCCCTTGGGCCTTTCCATGCCGGGCCTGCAGCTGGGCTCTGGGCACGTAGATGAACCACTCATCACGTCACAGCTGGGAAGCTCCTAGCACCCAGGGCAAGACAGGTATAGACAATTCTTTTTTTTTTTTTAAGTTTATTTATTTATTTTGAGAGAGAGAGAGTGCAGGCAGAGAGAGAGAGAGAGAGAGAGAGAGAGAGAGAGAGAGAATCCCAAGCAGGCTCCGCAGCACCCCGACTCGGGGCTCATACCCACAAACTGTGAGATCGTGACATGAGCTGAAATCAAGAGTCGAGCGCTTGAGCGACTAAGCCGTCCAGGCGCCCACAGACGTAGACGGTTCTAAACTGTTTTTCTCTGCAACCTTTCTTGAAACCAGTTGTGGGGGGGGTTTCACCCCACACCAGCCGATTCTCTGACTTCGGCCTACGATTCAGTTCAATTCTGTTACTAACTCCCTGGAGTTACTAACCCAGCTCAAGGGCTCTGTCCCTCAAGACTGCCCCCCACTTCAGACGTCAGGCGCAAGTATTAGGCGCCCAAAGTGCCCACGCTTCTGTCTGACGTGGCTGCAAAGTCACAGGTTACTATGACCCCCTCCTTAGACTTGGCAATTTGTTAGAACGGCTCACAGAACTCAGGGAAACGCTATTACCAGTTTACTCTAAACAATATTACAAAGGGTACAAACGAGCAGCCAAATGAAGAGGCACATAGGGCGAGGGGGTATAGGGTGGGGGGAGGGGTGGAGCTTCTACACCCCCTCCAGGTGCGCCACCCCCTAGCACCTGGTTATGGTCACCAACCTAGAAGCACCCTGAACGCGGCCGTTTAGGAGAGTTTTCTGGAGATTCTATTATCACAGGCATGATTGGTTAAGTCATTGGCCGTTGGTGATTAATTCAATCCCCAGCCCCTCTCCCTTCCCAGGTCAGGGGGTGGGGGGAATGAAAGTCCCAACCAACCTGATTCTGGCCGGCAGAGCTCCCTCAAATGGGTGTGTGCGGCAGGTGGGGAAGGGGTCTTTCTCAGGAGCTCGGGTCACCTTCGAGGAGGATCCTTCACATGCAGAGAGGATCCTAATCACATAGGTGGTTCTCCCGGCAAGCAGCCATTCTCAAGCATCAAGGAGCCTACCAAAGGTCACCTCATTAGCAGAAACTGGATGGATGAAACGGGCTCAAAAAAAGGCGGGTGGGTGTGCCCGGGTGGCTCAGTCGGTTAGGTGTCCGGCTTCGGCTCAGGTCATGATCTCACGGTTTGTGGGTTCGAGCCCCACGTCAGGCTCTGTGCGGGCAGCTCGGAGCCTGGAGCCTGTTTCAGATTCTGTGTCTCCCTCTCTCTTTGCCTCTCCCCTGCTCACACTCTGTCTTTCTGTCTCAAAAATAAATAAATGTAAAAAAGAAAGAAAGAAAGAAAGAAAGAAAGAAAGAAAGAAAGGGACTCGTTACGGATAACAGAAGGTGTTCCTATCTCCCCTCCCACGCCCTCCCACCCCAGGAAATTCCAAGGGTTTTAGAAGCCCTGTGTCAGGAACTGGGAACAGAGCCAAATATATACAGGCGACCTCTGAACAATGTATGGGTTAGGGGCACTGACTCCTTGCACAATTATCCGCGTAGAACTTTTGGCTCCCCCAAAACTTAACTAATAGCCTACTGTTGAGAAGAAGCCTTACCGATAACATAGTTGATAAACACATATTTTTGTATTTATATGTATCATATGCTGTATTCTTACAATAAAGTAAGCGAGAGAAAGGAAAATTTTACCTAGAAAATCATATGGAAGGGGCCCCTGGGTGGTTCAGTCGGTTACAATCATGATCGTGATCTCACGGTTTGTGAGTTCAAGCCCTGCATCAGGCTTTGTGCTGACAGCTCAGAGCCTGGAGCCTGCTTGGGATTCTGTGTCTCCCTCTCTCTCTGCCCCTCCCCTGCTCGTGCTCTGTCTCTCTCAAAAATAAACACTAAAAAAAATTTTTTTAACTAAAAAAAGAAAAAGAAAACCATACAGAAGAGGGGCGCCTGGGTGGCTCAGTCGGTTAAACGTCTGACTCTTGGTTTGGGCTCAGGTCACGATCTCGAGGCTCGTGAGTTCAAGCCCCACAGCGGGCTCTGTGCTGACCACACGGAGCCTGCTTGGGATTCTTTCTCTCCTCCTCTCTCTCCACCTCCCCCCTCTCCACCTCCCCCATTCAAGCTTGTGCTCTCTCTCTCTCTCTCTCTCTCTCAGTGCATAAGCGGACCCGTGCAGTTCAAACCTGTGCGGTTCCGAGATCACCTGTACTTGTCGCTGTATCACAAGATAATGTGGTAACTACGGAAAGACAGGTGGCCCATTTCTTCTGACTGCAGTGTAGCAGGAGGAATGAGTCAGTTTCCCAGAAGTGACCGTGGCCACCCAGAATCCCCACCAACACGCCGGGAACCACGCAACCGAAGTAAAAGGAAGGTGCAAATTCAGTTTCAAGCTGAAGTTCCTAATCTGTCCACCCAACCTGATTTTGGCACTCAGAAATTTCCCCCAAGCAGAAATGGGTGTGCGCAGCGGGTGAGGAAGGGGTCTTCCCCGGGACCTCTGGCCACCTTTGCGGGGAGGCAGGCTGTCAACTGGCACCAGTACAGAGAGGACCCCCGGGCCCCCCAGCCCCCAAGCTTTGTTGGCTCCGTGATGGGGACATATAACAAGGACGGCCCGGGCCCCAGCTGGGACACACGGCGGCAGGGTCTCCGGCCTGTCTGCGCCTAGGCCACCTGCCTGAGCCCAGATCCTACGGACCCAAGTGTGAGAAAAGGAGGGTGCCATTCCCTGGGGAGCCACACCCCCTAGTCGCGCATTTCGGGGCCGCGATGCTGAGCTCAGCGATCCCGATGGCCGCCTCGGAATGTCGAAGACGGCTCGGTTGTGACCTTGGGTGCCGGCCAGTGGCCTCGCCAGGGAGAGTGTTCCTTGTGGGGCCAGGCTCACCTCCACTCGAGTCAATCCACAGGGAGGGAGGAAAGCAAACCCAGCGTCTGGATTCTGCGGGCGGTTGGGTGCCTCATCCACTTCCTTCTCCATTTACCGTGCTCCTAGCCTGCTCCTCCCCTCCGTCCTCCCCACTCTGCCTCGGGATCCTCACCTTCCTTTCCTAGGCTCCTCTGCCTCCAGCCTCTGCCCCTCCCGTCCATACGCCAAACTGCTGCCTGGGCAGTGGTCCGTAATGAAATTGCTCTCGTTTGTCTCCGATCTCAGTCCTTAAATGACTCCCCACTGCCTACGGGGAGATGTCCAAACTCATCAGCCCAGCGTCTGGGACCTCGCAAAATTCTGGAAAACTTTCCTTGTCTCTGCTCCCATTTATACCCCACCCCTTACCCACCAGCCTCTCGACGTTTCACGTTTCGGCATCGCCCGTGTAGGGTGGAATAGTAGCGAGGACCTTGGCTCTGGAGTCCAGCCGCGGGGCTGCGGATCCTGGCAATGTCAAGTACAAGTCTTTCGGTGCGTGAATTTGAGCAAGTTGCTGAACTTCACTCCACCTTGACGGCCATACCTGAAAAGTGAGGATAATAACGACTCCTACCTCATGTGGTTGCAGCAAGGGCACAAGTATCTAACAAATATCCACTATTTGCTAGTGGGAGCTTGGCTCGCACTGCCGTTTCCACCCACGTGCCTTCCAGGATGCTCACTTTGTGAACTCCTATTCATCCTTCAAAACAAAACGCAGCTTCGGGGCGCCTGGGTGGCTCCGTCGGTTGAGCGTCCGACTTCGGCTCAGGTCCTGATCTCACAGTTCGTGAGTTCGAGCCCCACCTCGGGCTCTGTACTGACAGCTCGGAGCCTGGAGCCCGCTTCAGATTCTGTGTCTCCCTCTCTCTCTGCCCCTCCCCTGCTCGCACTCTGTCTCTCTGTCTCTCTCTCCAAAAAATAAATAAACGTTAAAAAAAAAACGTAAAAGAAAATAAAAAAACCAAATGTAGTTTCAAAGTCCAGCTGTGACCCCTCTAGGATAGATACTCCCTCTTCTGTGTTTCGAGGACCTCTTGGGCTCCCCTGCATCCCAGCAAATGTCACAGTGAGCCCTGGGTCTCTGCTTATCTGCCTCCCCAACTAACTGGGTCGTATTTACCCTTCCCCAGAGCCCACAGGGCCAGTTTGATGAGCAAATGAATAAAATTTCTGAAATGGTGAAGGGAAGAGATTTTCACCCGGTGTCGTCTTTGAGAATAAACACTAAAGACCACATTATAAAGGAAAAGCCTGAACTCTATCTATGAAGTGTTTTGGGTTTTTTTTTTAATGTCTTTTTAAAAAAGTTTTTATTGGGGCGCCTGGGTGGCTCAGTCGGTTAAGCGGCCGACTTCGGCTCAGGTCATGATCTCGCGGTCCGTGAGTTCGAGCCCCGCGTCGGGCTCTGTGCTGACAGCTCAGAGCCTGGAGCCTGTTTCAGATTCTGTGTCTCCCTCTCTCTGACCCTCCCCCGTTCATGCTCTGTCTCTCTCTGTCTCAAAAATAAATAAAAAACGTTAAAAAAAATTTTAAATAAAAAAAGTTTTTATTTATTTTGAGAGAGAGAGAGAGAGAGAATGAGCACAGGAGGGTCAGAGAGAGAGGGAGAGAGAGAATCCCAAGCAGGCTCTGCACTGTCAGGGCAGATCCCAGTGCAGGGCTCAAACTCATGAACCATGAGGGTATGACCTGAGCTGAAACCAAGAGTCGGACACTTAATCAACTGAGCCACTCAGGTGCCCCTGTGCAGTCTTTATTAAAGCCATAAAAGACTGGTCATGCTTCCCCTTCCAAAAAGAAAAAATGTGAATAAAATAAAAATAAAAGGTTGGGAAACATACATACCAGAGAGATAATAAAATAGAAAAAACCCTTTTTTTGTTTAATTAGGCATTACGACCAGGTATCTATGGAAACAGATGAATATTCACATTCCAGGTAGACAAGCATCTATTCATTTAACAATGCGTAAACAACAGGAAAGTTGGGGCCTCAGAAATTAACACTGGTCCCTTCAGTTAAGTGTTTCTTGACTGTGAAGGATATGATAAGAAAACAAGATTCAATCCCTGCCTTCAAAAGCACCATAGGTTGGTGGCTCAGTCAGTTAAACGTCCGACTTCGGTTCAGGTCATGGTCTCACAGTTCTTGAGTTCAAGCCCCACGTCGGGCTCTGGGCTGACAGCTCAGAGCCTGGAGCCTGCTTCGGATTCTGTGTCTCCTCTCTCTGCCCCTCTCTTGGTCTCTCTCTCTGTCTCTCAAAAATAAACACTAAAAAAAAAAAAAAAAAAAAAAAAAAAAAAAAA